CCACCCGCCAGCTGCTGGCTCAGCACCTCCTCCCCGCGGAGCAGCAACACGGAGAGTTTGGCCCGGGGTGCCCCGCCTGCCACCCTGCAGCGCAAGGTGAGGTTTTTGCCCACAGGATTCCATGGGGGCAGGGGTGCCAGCTCCACATGCTCCGGAAACTCTGCGGGTGGGTGGTGGAGGGAGGGGAGAACAGAACTTATCAGTCAGCCTTCCAACCCCCGCCCCAGGGAGTGGAGAGGACCGGGGGTGGCCCAGTGCAGAGCAGAACTGTGAACTTTGAGGTGATAAACCTAGAGGGCTTAGAAATGTGCTAGTGGAAGTGTTTGCTCTTGTCATTAGCACCAAGACAATTATTTCCTGTTTTGTCAGACAGGGAAATAAAAGATTTGTTTACAAGGACCTGACAGTAAAAAAATAAAAAGGAGCCCTGGCACGTTTTGCTTAGTGGACGGAAGGGTCTCCAGCTGATTCCCTGTCAAGGGCACCTGCCTCGGTTGCAAGTTCTGCAAGTTCAATTGGGGAGCGTGCGGGCGGCAACCAATCGATGTGTCTCTCTCACATTGATGTTTCTTTCTCTCTCCCTCCCTCCTCCTTCTCTTTCACTCTGAAAATTAATGGAAAACAAATATCCTCAAGGTGAATTTCAAAAAGAAAAAGAAAAAAAGAAAGGGAAAGGGTACTAACGCCTATGACCACTTACGATGTTAACAGCAATTATAAAAGTTCCTATTTAGAGCTTTCCTTAGACTTTGCAAATGTCATCAGGCATCCACCTTCATTCACATAGCAACTGAGTAAAATGTTCCCTATTATTCTTTTTACAGATGGAGAAACAAGCCCAGAGAGGTGATCTGCCCAGAGAGGCACATCCAGGAAGGGGCAGAACCTGGGTTAGAATGTGGGTCTCCCACACTTCGGACCTGTGTGTCCACCTGCCTTTTTGGTGTCACATCTAGGGATTCCCCTGGCCCTCCTCCCAGCTTCTGGCCTGGACTCTGGCCTTGACCTCTCTAAGAGGTTGGCCCAACCCTTCCCCATCAGTCCCAGGTGCTCAAGACTCTCACAGTCTACTTGCCTGGGGCAGCCTCTTAAGGTGCTCTACCACAATCTTGGGGGACCGGACCCCTCCAGGCTGGGTCCTCTCCCAGGTATAGCTGCAGTGCCTTTCTCAGGCACACAGACCACATCCTTAACCTCCTTGGGAAGCAACTTACGCTCACCTCCGACAACTCGAGTTTGGATCTCAAGCTGTCAGAGAGGCCCATGGACTGGCTGCTATGAAAAATCTCTAACATCTTACTACAATTTTAGAATATTTGACAAGGAGGCCTCCGTCTTACTCTTGGGCACCACTGGTCAGGGCTAGTGTTATGCTGGTAAATTCTAGTTATGCTTGGGCTCTCGGGGGTGGGGTGGGAGAACCCGGGTAAGGAGCATTTGCCAATTTCTGTAGTGTAAGTATCCCCACCATGGCTGATACCAAGCTACCCAAAGTGAGATAGAGTTGGGAAGAGCTGAGCACAGTCAGACCTCATGAGCCAGGAACAACAGGCTCCCACACAGCACTGGCCAGAGGCACCTCACAGACCCACAGATCCATACAGGTAGATAGACACATGCAGATGTACACATTACACAGAAATATATGTGGATACAAACATATATGTAGACACATTGACACAGACATCCACAGACACACAGATATTGAAACAAACACACTTGCCCCCACACACAGATAACACAGGCAGTCACATATGGAGATATAGATACAATCATGGAGATACACACTGAGAGACACAGACAGACACAGGCACACACACACACACACAAGCACTAACACATACACATGTACACTCCCACAAACATAGACAATAACAGATACATATGCTATGGACACACATGTAAGTACACAAATACATAGACACTGGCACCCACATAAGAGCATTCACGTGGGTACTATACTTATCCACGAAGGCTTCACAAAACAGTAGGCACCGTGAGTGATCTAGTCTGTTGTATGCCTTTTTGAAAAATATGTTTTTATTAATTTCAGAGAGAGGAAGGGAGAGAGAGAAACACCAATCTGCTGCCTCCTGTATGCCCCCCTACTGGAGAACAAGCCCACAACCAGGTCATGTGCCCTGACCAGAAATCGAACAGGGACCTCCTGGTTCATGGGTCCACGGGTCCACACTCAACCACTGAGCCATGTCGGCTCCTCATTGATTTTTAGAGAGAATAGAAGGGAGGGGGAGAGACACACAGAGAGAGAAACGTCTATGTGAGGGAGACACATTAATTGGTTGCCCTGCGCACACACCCTGACTGGCCAAGACTCAGTTTGCAACCAAGAAACATGCCCTTGACCAGAATTGAACCTGACATCTTCAGTCTGCAGGCCAATGCTCTAACCACTGAGAAACCGGGTAGGGCAATAAACTATCTATCTATATAAAAGACTAAGCAACCGTCGCAACCGAAGGGACAACCGAACAGGCTGCGTGGGGCATGGCCAGCAGGGGGGTTAGTGAGGGGCGACCAAATGACTGAGCAGCAGGCTGTGTGGGGTGACCAGGCTGGCAGGGGGCAATTAGGGGTGACCAGGCTGGAAGGGGGGGCAGTTAGGGGCAATCAGGCAGGTAGGCATGTGAGCGCTTAGGAGCCAGCGGTCCAGGATTGTGAGAGGATGTCCAAGAGGTCTTGGATTAGGGAGGGTGCAGGCTGAGCTGAGGGGACCCTCCCTCAGTTTGCAACCAAGAAACATGCCCTTGACCAGAATTGAACCTGACATCTTCAGTCTGCAGGCCAATGCTCTAACCACTGAGAAACCGGGTAGGGCAATAAACTATCTATCTATATAAAAGCCTAAGCAACCGTCGCAACCGAAGGGACAACCGAACAGGCTGCGTGGGGCATGGCCAGCAGGGGGGTTAGTGAGGGGCGACCAAATGACTGAGCAGCAGGCTGTGTGGGGTGACCAGGCTGGCAGGGGGCAATTAGGGGTGACCAGGCTGGAAGGGGGGGCAGTTAGGGGCAATCAGGCAGGGAGGCATGTGAGCGCTTAGGAGCCAGCGGTCCAGGATTGTGAGAGGATGTCCAAGAGGTCTTGGATTAGGGAGGGTGCAGGCTGAGCTGAGGGGACCCTCCCTACCGCATGCATGAATTTCGTGCACCGGGCCTCTAATTCTAAATAAACAAACAAATAAATGCAGAGAAACTCTTGGGAGGATCACAAGAAACCAGTGCCAGGGGGATTCCCAGTCTGGAAAGGAAGGCTTCACCTGTTATAAGTCCTGGGAGCCAGACTGCCAGCTTCGCCGCTCAGGGGCTGTGAACCTGAAAAATGACTCCACCCACTGAACCTCAGTTTCCTTAGCTGTGAAATGAGGCTCGTAAGTGCAGCGCTCCCCCCACCCTCGCCCTGGGATCTTTGTAAGGATTGAATGAGGGCTGAAGTGGGTATATACACTTAAAACAGTGGTCACTGCCAGCAGTGCTAGGTAAATGGAGATTTGACATTGATATGTTTTTATACTTTTTTATTTTGGAACCCCATTAATTTATTACCTGCCATCCTATATAATAAAAGAGAAAAATGGTAATTGGCATACGAAGATACCCTTTTCATTGGCTAATCAGGGCTATATGCAAATTAACTGCCAACTCAGATGGCAGTTAACTGACAACAAAATGGTGGTTAATTTGCATATGTAGGCACAATGCAGGGAGGCGAAAGGGAAAGCGGGAAAAAGCCCCCTGCCACTGACAGTGATCAGAAACCCAGGGGGGCGCTAAGAGCCCCCAGGGCCGCCTTTGCCCTGCCCCCCAGCCATGATCGGAGAATCAGGTGCCTTTTCCGCCCTGGCCAGTGATAGCAGGAAGTAGGGGTGGAGACAGCAATGGGAGCTGGACACGGTCAAAGCTGGCAGTCCCGGGAGCTAGGGGTCCCTTGCCTGGGCCTAAAGCGG